ATTTTAGCATTGATATGAACCATGGACAAGTATATTCTGCTGCCACAAAGACTGTAAAGTGCTTCATTTCAACAGCTGAGGCAAGCCAAGTGATCATTAATAAAGCTTTTCTTGGTTCCTTCAGTGGTGTTGGTAGTAAAATGGTAGGTAAAAGTTAGGCTGCAAGTTCAATAAATCATGCAATTTCCAGTCGTTACACCCTTGTGTATTCACATTTCTTGGATCAAGAATTTTGAGTGAACTGGGGGTTTTTATTAAAAATAAAAACATTTTGTTCTTCTGTTATTTGATAAGGTTCTAGCTTTACATGCTTATCCAGGATCAGGCTAAGGAGAAGGTAGGGCAAGATGGTTGAATCTATTTTCAGATAACTTATATTTATGAATAAAGTGTCTACATTATAAATCCTGTATGTATCCAGTACTAAACACATGGGTTTAAATGTGGTAATTCTTTCCCAATCCCCTACCCTATAGGAGAGATATAGGTTGGCTGCTGAAATTTCCTTTCATAGATGTCTAATTGATTGCCTGGCTTTATTGCCTTTTCAGGAATGTGATAACCAGGGCATATTCTACTGTATGCACCTGTGAGTCTTCTTTGATCCTAAGACCACCACTGAAGTTATTTAGGTTCTTTGGACAAACATGATAAACTTCTTCAGATACTTTTTTTTTCCTTTGGCAGGAAGGTGTCTTGCTGCAGGTAACTAATGAAGAAGTGGTCAACCACAGAGTCTTCAAGAAATAAGAAATTCTGTACCATCTGAAAGTAGTTCTTGTTGGTGCCTTCATTTAAAAAAGCACTCTTTTAAGATTAAAGGGAAATGTTTTCTGATAAAATAATAGACTTCATTTAGTACAGGTTCTTAATATAAAACAATTACAAATTGAGCATTGTTTGTAAAAGAGTAACATCAAATCAGCTAGAGAGAAAATGTATCATGTTTTAAATTAGGTTTTGTGAGTAGACAGATTAAAATTCTATTTTAAATATAAAGTTTATAAAATAAATACTTTTGTATTCAAATACTTGGTGTAATGTTTACACATAAAATGTGTGAATCTTGTTCTATGAACATTAAGCTGTCTAAAGGATTGCCATCCCCTAGAATTTTAAAGCAGTTTCACAAAGCAATGCATCTTGCCATTTTCCTTTCAATATTGGTAGACAAATGAGAAAAGCATTGTGGACATTATTGGCTGTCCCTAATAAAATGCCATTCTTTATACATTGTATATTCAGCGTTTGAATAATGCTACAGATTTCTGGCTTTGCTTTATATGTTTAACATTGCTGGTGGTGTTTTTAAAGTCATGGATTTTAACCAGCTAGAGTGGTCTAAATTAAGTGGCTATGCAGAGCACTGAAACAAAATCTGTCATTAGTTTCACAAATGTAAATTAGCTCTTTTGTTTTACACTTAGTATGAAGTGGTTGTCATTAAAGGGTTAGACATGGTGGATACAATTAAATAGCAAGCAGCAACTTTCTTACTTGGATGTTAACCTGAAACAATGAAAGAAACCAGAAAAATAATAGTAAACATACTTGTTTTAACTTTTGGTTTTGATAACAAGGCTATCTATCACAGGTAAGTCAGACTAATGACTAACAGAAGATGAGCTTTTTTGTTTTAAAATTTTAACTGTCCATTACCAGCTATGAACTTGGATGTGGGTTTACTAGGAAAAACTAATTAAGGTTTTAAAAATGTCCAGCTCTACTAAGAAGTTGAACTTGGAAGAAGTCAAATCAAATTGATATAATACAAGCCAAAATAGCCTTTTAACACCAGCACAAATGAGGGGAAACATCTGTTAATACATGATCGGCTGAAATGGTTTATTGAAACATAGATGTTGAATAATTTTATGTATGTTGTGTGTTGAGCTACTAATTTTAGAAATTGAGGTTTAAGGAAATTTTTTTCTAAAAAGAAATACTTTAAAGCATTTTACGGTTTTTATGTTGGACTTAACCCTTTACTGCTGCATTAACACATTTACCCCAATACTTAGAGCAGTGTAGAGCGTGGTAAACTTGTTACTCATAGGTCAGCAACTGCAGCTTAGCTGTGTGATTCTAGCTGAAGCTCAGGGTTGAAGAATCAGAAAACTTGACTGGGGCTGGGAAAAAATTGCATCTGAAATGGCCTACTGACAGGACTGGCAGGTTGGTGCTATTTCCTTCACCCATAGTTGAAGCGACAAAATCTTCAAAATATAACCAGGGTGTGAAGGTTGCTGTCTTGTCACGATGTGGGGAAGGGGAGGTTTTTATATGATCCAAAAGACAAGCATTTGGGTGTCATCACGGAGGCTGGTTCCCATACCTGGCATTTGTTCTTGTGAAAGGTTTTGAAATGGATTCTGTGTGGTTTTCAGTAGCCCAGTTAGGTGAATGAATACAAGTCAGTTGGTCTAAACTTTGATTATAACTCCTGTTTGGGTCAAATATTGAAAAGCACTGAGAGCCAATTGAGGGAAGCTTTGAAAGAATCGTGTTTCAGTTCCCTAGGAATGAAAGCTTGTTAATACTGTGTGGGTGTGTGCCTTTGCAAAAGGTAGAAAACACTATACCTAAAGTACTTGTGCATTTTGGCTTACTTTTATTAGTCTTTAAAGTTTGGAAATGATGTTCTCGGGTGATACACAGAATATGATCTTAATGCAACACTGCTGTTACTGCAAATAAAGGAATATATTCAGATCTTTGAAGATGATGGGGAAGGGGGAAAATGATTCCAGCTATTTAAAGTAAAATAAATGAAAAATAATTTATAAAATATTACTCCATAGGGTGACTGTTGAGAGTTTGGAATTTTAGAAGTTGGTCTGACTTCCTACATTCTAAAGGTCACTGCTGGTCTGGAGCTAGCCTTGAAATGGAACCCAAACACCCAGATGTTTTTGTTCAGTGTACATTGCTTGGAGATGACATATAATAGATCTCATTTCACCTGTGAGGATATTCCAACATGGCCTGTTGATGGCTACCAAAAGGAATAAGGTTTTAATGGGGAAAGGATAAGCTCCATCTGGTTGTTGAACCAGATTTTGATTTTTCAGCTGATGTAATTTTACGAACAATTCCAAGAGTAAGTATTTTCTGTAGCTGAGGAAGGTAAGACTATTTTAAGCATTTCAAAATGGAATGTAAATTTGGGCCAATTCACGGTGAACTCAGGAGGGTAAGTGATGCCTAGAAGAAAGTACTTTCAAGAGGTTAAAGACTTGAACATACAAACTATCAGGTAAGTGAGTAAAACATTACTGATCGTTCCTAAGTGTCCAGTTCTATTGGTCTCAAGGTTTATGACTTTAAACCCCATGACAAATACTTGGAGACAATCTGTCTTCCCCTGCCCCTAACCCTTTGATGAAGCTGGTTCTCAATTTAGATCCATATCTTGTTCACATTAACTGAAGACTGATGTTTAAGTAATGGGTCAGACACCTAACAGCTTTGTTCCACACAATAAAATGTATATAAAAATCAAAGTCTTTTCTCAACACTCCACCTATTCCTTTCAACTCATGGTAAAACATGGCATATTATTTTAAGGCCACTGGACCCACAAAAACTGGTTTAGTCAATCTCAGTTTATCTTAATTTGTAAATAGGGAGCTTGGTGTGAGATTTCCACAGCTTCAGTTTGTATGCAAGCCCAGTGAATTTTGTGTGAAATAATTGTCAAGAAACTAGCCAATGGAAATGAGAGAAAACGCTGATGAGATAAAACTGGCTGATGAAAAATGCGTTCATTGACCTTTGGTTACAATGCAGCAAATATCTTCTATACTTAAAAAGTGTTTACATTTCAGTTGTGATGAGTCCCGGCTCTGCACTGTGTGCCTCTTTTCTTGCCCAGTTGATCTTACTTTCTTGTGTGTGCAGGGTTTGGGGGAGAATGCAGAGTCAAAGAGCAGGTACTCAAAGTGAGCCAATGATACTTGGTTCTGTAGCATTTTATATTTCTCATGTGCCTTGGAGCTCTATTTAGAACATGACATCTGAGGTGTGCTTGTAAAAAGCCTATCAACATTTAAAAAGGGGCCATTGTACAAAACTGGTCAGCATTTTACTAGCAAAATCTAGGGTTTGAAACTCTTACACCCAATTTAAAATGGAAAAGATAAAGATACATATGCTGTGTTTCTGGAGCAAAAGAGTATTTCGATTTGTGATACTACATCTGACAACCTTGATTCTTTTAGTTCTAAAATTAGACTAAAAAGTTATCTTCAGAAAATTAACTTTCCTGTTTACTGTTAATATCCTTGAGTTTTCATTTCAAATGCCATATCTAGGACTAGTTCATTTTCAAACTCTGATCTTTTTATCAAAAGGCTACTTTTGCCTATTAATCCGTATTTTGGTTCAATATTTTGGTTTTTTGGTTAGATTATAGTCTTTTGATGGGCAGACTTTCTTAATGTTAGCTTGGGCTTTTGTGTGTTTCCACATTTGAGCAAGTTTGGGTTTTGTGTGTGTGAGCTGTCACCAGATGTGGGGCCATTCCTCCAGGCTGGTTTTACTGCCAGGGAACTCGGTTTCCCTATGTGCAGGTAGCTCTAGTTACAGGAGGGAGGCCTTTTGTCCCCAGGCATTAATGTCTAATGCACGAATAGTTTAAAGCTGTTTTTGGCACCTTGGTGTAGGGTTTCACCACTTAACTTTGGGTTTTCATGTTATTCTGTGTTGGTATTACTATATTGACTTGTTTGGCTGATCAATCTGTGTAATTAAAAAAATTAAACCCTATACTGCTCTATTTGCTAGGTATTCACCTGTATTCCTGAATGTGGTTATTTTGAAGGATAAATATCCAAAGTAAATTTGCTTAGGATTTGTGTATGAAAGGAAAAAGTTAGTGCTTTATAAATTGAAATACAAAATTTATTTCCACAAAGTCATATAAGTTAAGTATTCATAAAAATTAAAATAAGCTTTTCAAAAGTCACTGTACTTCAGTGCTAAATGAAAATGTTAGGGGCTACTTTGCGTTTTAAGTCATAAGAACTGAAACATGTTTTGAAATAATTAAACCCAGTATTTGCTCTTTGCAATGACTATCTTACTAAAACAATGGATACCAAAGTGACAAGTTCTCATGTACCCTTTTTGTACATAGTATTAAGAGGACTTCATGAAAAGTTATGGCTTCCCCCATGTTTGATATTTAAGTCCTAAACTTGTCCATGTAAGTTTCAAAATAATAGCCTTGATTGAAACCATGGTTCAAGTAGCAGTATTTGAAGGATACTTGGAACACTTGAGCTAAACTTTGAAGCAGATTTAAGTGGTTTGTGATCCATTATCAGTTTCTGAACGTCGCTGCTGCATATCAGAGGATCCGTCTTCAATTTCTTCGCTCACTTTTTCTTTTTCCCTTTTGGTTTTCCTTTTTGTGGCCTGAGGTCACCAATTCTTTGGGTAGAATCAAAACACTTCCATCATGGCTGCACTGAAGAGCATACTGATTTGGATTGACTGGCCTACCTTGATCATCTCTTAACCTGCTAAAAACATCATGATAAAGTTCATGCAGTTTCTGTTTCATCGTGTTTATAGCTTTGTGACACTGGACCCGCTCTCTATTAAGGGTTTCCTTCTTTGCTTGCAAGTTACATACATCATCTTCCAGATTCAAAATTTCGTCCAGTTTGCGCTTACGGCAGTTTTGAGCAGCAACTTTATTTTTCCCTCTTCGTCTAATATCACGGATGAGAGACACTTGCGTATCTGTCAGATAGTGCCTGCTTAGCATGCTGTTGAAAGAATCTACAGGCATGCGGACAATTTCATCTACAGTAAAAGGGATACGCAGAGCTTTAGCACACCGTTCATCACGGCTTAAGTTTCTGCCTGTGTCATTGAGGTAACTACTCCTTATTTTCTGTGACTCCCCAGGCCACGAAAGGGGTTCAGAAGTGGATTCTAGTGCACTTGAGTGATAAGTGTGGTTATGCAGTACGTGTTGAAATGCAAGGTCCGCGTCAAAATTAGTATCGCTCCTATGACCCACGTGACAAAGCTTACTGGACTCTGGGTAGTAGCCGCCTACAGCTCCTTCCAAGTCGTGGCGGGAAAGAGATTCCAGGTCTTCAGGGTCAGTGCTATAACCTATTGCACCATCACAGAGAGAGAGAGACGAATTAGACTTGGCGACAGAGGTGCTATTGTAGCTTGAGTTTAAGGAAAGCCCAGAATCAGAATCTGGTTCTTCAAAAAGCTGAGAAACTAACATTGGATCAAAACCTTCTTCTGTGGCCAAAGACGTTAAGTTTATCTCATCAAATATGTTTATATCAAGGTCATATAGAAGGTCTTGGCTTGTTAGATTCCTCATCTGGTTGTCAAAAAGTGGAAGAAATCCTGTTAGATTTGTTCCAGGAAGGGTCTGTTCAGGATTGGTAATAGAATTTAACTGCAGAAATGGTTCTTGTGGCTGTGAAGTCCTTGCTATTGGGTCTCTTCTAAATGTATTGTCAGGACCCAGCAACATGGCCTCATGGAGATTCACATCCTGACTTAGAGCCTGGCTAAAATTTACATTGTAATGTGTGGAAGAATACATGCCATCACTGATACTTGCTGCAAGAGGAGGAGTATCTCCTAGTGAGATGCCCTGAAAAAGGAAAGGAAAAAGCACTGTAAATATATATAACTATTTCAATAGCAGTTCTAGTACCTAATACAATACTTTTTGTTCCTCTCTTTTGTCAATTCCTCTATACAAATAAGGGTATGCTGTTGGCTATGAGTAACATTCCCTGGTTAAATAATGTGGGTAAATACATGATGTGAACCCAAATGAGAAATATGTTGTATTGGGGGGAAGATTTGTTTTTTGAACATAATGGAAAATTAGAAAAATTGATGAGGTTAGTATAAAAGCTGGTCTCATTAAATAATTCTCATATAATCTTACTGTAACTTATAAGAGGCAACTCTTAATCCTAGCTATTGGCAATCTAAATCCACCTGGTGGATTATCAGATACAACAACAGCTATAGTGAAACAGTCTTGAGGGGTGGGGAGAGGAGCTTTTTACAGCAAATTGGACCAGCATAATATACAATCAAGACCCAAGTGCTGCCAGAAGAAGGTGTGCCTTACTTTGTCAAATATTTACTGCCATTTGGATTCAACATGGATTTTATGAATTTGATTCTACCTTTGTGATTATTCAGAAGGAGGAACAGTGTACATATTTGGCTATTTCTCCAAAGTTGAAGAGTTTTATAAAAAGTAATCCTAAGTCTGCTTAAATAATGCACTAGATACTATCACCTAAGTATTTATGCTGCTATGTATTCCAGGTAAATGGGTTATATTTGTTCACAAAGGAGCCAGTGCAGATATTTTCCTGGAAGGATAAAAGCCAAGGTTCCAGTTACCTCCAGTGGATTTTCAGGCTGTGATGAGAGCAACTGAAATAAGTCTTCCAGAAATAAAGATGTGTCTGTTCCATTTTGATGTCTCTGTAGAAAAACACAAAGTACACCATTCATTTAAAAGACTGAAGTAGTTGCCTGGGACTTTTAGGCTTAATTTTGAGAGGATAACTAGGTCTTATTTCCATGCCGGATTTTTATCTCTATTTTGGAATTTTTACATTCTATTCCTTTTTTTTAGTATTTTAATATACCTTTTTTTAGAACCTTTAACTCCAGGCTCCTCCATTCCTGCCCTAACCATCTTCCATATATTGTTTCACTAGTATTCCTAGTCCACCTTATTTCTCCCCTCCCCACCCGACCTTCCAAATTATTAACAGGATGTTGTAATTCTACAGTCCAATACATATTTATAATTACCAAAGTTTTACCCATTTATTTACTCATTACTTCATCTCCTGCCTTCAGGATTTAGTTTCTTGTTGAAATATTTCCTTTGATAGCTCTTGTTTTTGTAGCCTGGAATTAATTTTGCCTTCATGCTTAAGTGATAGTTTTTCTCGTGATTGTCAGGGTTAATGTTTTCCCTCAGCACTTTGGCTTATGGCATTTATTAACTATTGCTGCTTGCTACTGCTCTGTCACTTTATAGCTAATCTTTTTCCTCAGGTAGTTTTTTTTTTTTTTAATTGAAGTATAGTCAGTTTACAATGTCAGTTTCTGGTGTACAGCACAATACTTCAGTCATAGGAACATATATTCATTTTCATATTCTTTCACAACTTACAAGATACTGACCTTAGTTCCCTCCCTGTGCCATACAGTATAAACCTGTTGTTTCCTCAATTTTTTCTTAGTTTTTGTTGCCCTGCCATTTCACTTTGATATGTCTGGGACTTAATTTTTTATTTACTGTTTGAGACTCTCTGTATTCCTTTAATCTGAACCATAAGATGATTTTAATTTTGGAAATACTTGCCATAAACTCTTTGAATACTGCTTCTTTATATTTCCCAGTCTCTCCTGGAACTCCTATTAGAAATCACTTAATTTTCTTATCCTATTACTTCTTTCTTTTCATATTTAAAGGTGACCTTATCTCTATCGGGATTTGTTTCTGTAGTAATGCCAAGGACTTATACCAAGGGTTACCAACTAAGACCGTTAACATATTTTTCTCTTCAAGGACCAGTTTTTTTTTTTAATATATATTTTTTATATTGAAGTATGGTTGATTTCCAATGCTTTAGTTTCTGATGTACAGCAAAGTGATTCAGTTTTTTATATATGTATTTTTTCAGATTCTTTTCCATTATAGGTTATTATAAGATAATGAATACAGCTCCCTATGCTATACAGTAGGACCTTGTTGTTTGTAAGTTCATTTGTACCATTTTTTAAGATTTCATATATGATATCCTATGGTATTTTTCTTTCTCTGGCTTACTTCAAATCTCCAGGCCCATCCATGTTGCTACAAATGGCATTTCATTATTTTTAATGGCTGAGTAGTATTCTATTGTGTGTGTATACCACAACTTTATCCATTCATCAGTCAATGGACATTTAGGTTGCTTCCATGTATAGACTATTGTAAATAGTGCTGCTATGAACACTGGGGTACATGTATCTTTTTGAATTAGTTTTCTCTGGATAAATCACCCAGGAGTGGGACTGCTGGATCATATGGTAACTCTATTTTTAGTTTTTTAAGGAACCTCCTCTGTACTGTTTCCCATAGTGCCAAGGACCAGTTTTTATATCATTTTCTAGAACTTCCTTTCTTGACTCAGGATTCCTGATGGTGACAGTAGTCTGAATTCACACAATCTGGCATTCCGATTTCTAAAAGGTGGATGACAGCTTCCTTGCTCTGTCTCCTATTAGTTATTAGTTAAAAGAGCCCTTAAACATTCTGAGCTTTACACAGGGAATTTAGGTATCTGTGGGCATGGCTTGAAACCTCATTTCTCATCTACTCAACCCCAATCTCTGTCATGACATCTGGATACAGTTCTTCTTGGAGGCTCTTTAGCTTTGATGCCTGGTCATCTTAAATTCTGGATTTGAGTTCCCTCTTTGTTTTTTGTATCTGTAGGAGTTCTGTTTCTTGCTTTTGAGTTCTGTTATGCATTTGAAGATAATACCCATTACATCTTATCCAGGATGTCTATACCTGATGTGGCAAAGGGGTGTTTTTGTATGTTAGCAAGTTCACATTACTGACTCATCTGCTGTGTATAAAACTCCCATCCCAACTTTTACTTTACTTTAGGGTTTCCTCTTTTGAAGAAAATCCAGACAAGTTGGACTGATTTTTGTGTATGTGGGTACAAATACTTGGTTTCTTTTTCTGCAAAATGCCTTGGGTTCTATGAAACTGTGTTTTCAAGGCCCATAGTACACAAGGCTTTCTGTGTCTATTTTTATGGATACTATAGGACTTATTTAAGGTAAACTGGTGTATAAGATTTCTTATTTTTCTTTACCTGATGGGTGAATTGGTTTGTTTTTCTTTAAGTGGTATATGATGCATTTTTAGTGGTAGCGAACTTCTTTACCATTTGGATTATTTTAGATGATTCCTAGTTTGTTAAGAAATTTCAGAAACTTGATTCATTAGTCCTGGCCAACCACTGACCAAAAAAGTTGCCTGATGGTCACAAGCATCCGAGAATGGATAACAGCATAAATCTGCATTCCTGCAAAAACAATCCTTAATGGTAGGTAGATAACATTTGCAGAAAAGAAAGCCTTAATATTTAGAACATAGAAGTATGGGTATGAGGATCATTCTACTGAAAATGAATTATGGACTGATCCTTCAGTAGTCAAAGATGTTTCATTAAACCATCTTACCTGCTCCCTCTTATTCAGTTCCCCTGGAAATGGAGGGCTGAGAGGCCAACCTCTACCAATGTTGCCCTCTGGCTGGTTCCACAGGAGACAGAGGCAAGAGATGGGAGAGTGGAAGATGTGACAGAGTTCCTTAGAGACCTCTCATCTATTCCAGCTTTCACTGAACAGTATTTCTCCACAGGTTCCTCTGCCCTGATGGTGATGTTGGCTTTATGTAGCTGCTAGTCCCTGGAGGCCCTCCCTATCCCTTAAACTTGCCTTCACCTGTGTTACAAAGAAAATCCACTCATTCACTTCTCTTTCAGAATCTCATGGCCCTGTGCCTTTTCTGTGGACAGTCATCCTCCTTCCTAAATCTTCACATAAAATACAAATACAGTTCTATTTTGGGTCAAGAATTCATTGCATTTTGAACAGAGATCACCAGGAGTATTCAAAGAATATGGTGGGTACATTTAATTTTATCACACCTTTTAAGAAGATGAAACAATGTATAAACTCAACTTTCTTGAGTGAGAAGGAAATATCTTCAGGCCTTAAAGATAACCATACTGTGTATTTAATCATTAACAGCCTGCAGTCTAAGTCCAGGCTTGCAGTAGGGCTAGAAAGAAGTCACTGTTAATCAAATTATTTCAGTCATCCTAGGTATTCAAGTTGTCACCCAAAAGAATAGAAATATGCCAGTGGTTCACTGTGGTCACCTGTGCTTTATTTCATCAAGCTATAAGAGCACCTACTAAGTAACATCTCATGTTACATGTATTGTTAGAAGTTCCTATAAGGAATGAGTAATTTGCAATATATAAAGATGTAGTGTAAATGCTAACTAAAGACTGATAAAGACAAGCTGTAAAAATGGAGCTACAAAATGAGCTGAACTCAATAATTACGAACCAAGGTACCAACACCATGCTTTGAGTGATTAATATGTCTCTGGAAGGTTTTGTCCAAACTGATGTTTGTGCCAAGTCAAACTGATAGGAAGGTCAGAACAAGCTGGAGGGGGCGGGAGAGTGGTGGGTGGGCAAAAGGAGCAAAGTTGTTCTGACTTCACTCTGTCAATCAATTAATATTCAGTGTGATGCTACATAGTCAAGGCTACAGTGATGATGGGCTGAGAAGGACCGAGGCATGGTACTCTCCATCCACAGGTGTTCAAGGCACAGCCCCCAAACACTACTTGGGGCAAGTCAAGGCTGAGAGAACCACTGGGGCAAGACTTGCAAGTGACACCTTCCAGGGGAAGGGCCAACTGGTTAACAGTCTGTGGAACATCTAGAGCATTTGTTTGCCAGGGTTGTGGGCTACAACTTCAGCAGAGCTGCAGATTGTATCCCAGCTGAAAGGGAGGAAGCACAGCTGCAAGGAGAATCCCTCCCTTCAGCCTGGTTCCTGGAGTTCGTCTTTCTATATGCCTTTGACTGCTGATGAGTGTGATTAGACAGAGGAGCCAATGAGGCTGTCCGTCCCACTGGGCTTGGCCAGAGGTACAAAGTGGGCTCCTGGATGCTCACTCAGCATGGCCAACTGGAGCCCGAGCCCCCGCTGGTACTGAGGGTGATTTGCCCGCAGGGTCCTATGGCTTACTTTCCCAGGCCTATCCAACTTGGCTGCTTCAGCAAGTGACTGGTTGAGGATTCCTGGGTTCAGGATGCCAGCCATCCATCTCTATCCCTTGCAACCAACAAAACCTGCTAGCAAGTTCCTGGATGGGTGTGAGTTAACCAGAACTAACTATGAGCTGATTCCTTTTTAAATCAAACAATCGCATCCACAATTTAAAAAATACATGTATTTTCATATGTCAGATTTACTTACAGCCAGACACATTTAAATACAAAATTCATTCTCAACACAGATTGTCAAAAGCCATAAAAAATCTACTTTACAGCCAAAATGGTACTGCTAGAATACTCCAACATGCTTACCTCATGGCTAGATTCAGTGGTCTTTTCTAACTCCCAGGCAGGTTTATCTGCTATTTTATTTTCATCTTGATTCATCTGCTGTAGTTGTTTCTCCTTCTGGGTTGATGCTCTTTGCTCATTTTCCTCATGCTGGAAACTGTGATCCACAGCCCTTAGGACCTCATTCTCCTATAAAAGTACCAAAATGTGCTAAGTAGAAATCCATATTTCATCAAGTAAGTCAAATCTTTAAAACTGCTTTGTACTTACTGTTCAGTGATCATTAAAACCCACTACTCAAAAGCTAAGACTGCCAGTTCATTATTTCAGTATCAAATATTTAATTCTGAAGCAAAGGTCATTTTTGTGTCCTAATAGACAAGCTGTTCTAATCTGGATAATTTATATTTATATAGCATTTAAAGCCCCTAAATTTAAAATATTTGCAAATTTGGTTAGATTTGAAAATCAATGTTGCCAGCAGGCAGTTTTTATTTAGTTTTCTGTTGGAAAATAGATCAAATAGCTACGTTAGGAGTAAACGCTGATCAAACATACATAGAAAAATCTGGGAAGTATTATTACAAAGTATTAATTGTGGTTCTCCCTGAAAGGTGGGATGGGTTGGGGCAGAGAGGGTAAAAAGTGTTGACGTCACTTATACATTTCTGTACTCTTTGAATATTTTACAACAAATACGCATTTCTTTTACAATCAGGAAAAAGGTAAATACATTTTTATTTTGAAAAAATTAAGTTAACAATAAGGCTTAAAATAACATCTCCATTGATATTCTCAACTATGCTTATTTACCCAGATGAGTCCTCCTTCCACCTTTACTTTGAGGCGACTTAAATAATTAAAAGGCTAGAGAATTCTAAACATTCAAATAGTTACTATTTAGCATATACTATATATTCTGATACTTTGAATTATAATATTAAAAGCCCTCTGTATAATTTTTTTTCCCTCTAACACAACATCAAGGCCTCTCATTCTTTCAAAGGATTTATTTTTAAATTCTCCCATCTAACAACAAAACACACTGGACTAACTCAAGGACAGCACCACTGTCCCCCACTCTAAACCACAGAAATGTTAACCTTTTTAAAGTGAAGGTGAAAGAAATGGAAATCCACAGATGCCAGAAGGAGGCAAAGCAAGAGCAGAAAAAGGAAGCTAATGTGCTGGTGGCCCACTTGGTTTTACCTGTTTCTCTGTTCGCTGTACCAAACAATGACAAACTCAGCCTCCCTCTTGACACTATGGATGTCGGTGGTCTTCCCTCAACTTCTCCATTTGTGTGCTCAAGGACATTGCTCCTGCTACCCTTCCCTCTTTTCTGCATCAACAATTGCTTCCTGTCTGTTGGTTGACTACAATCAGCCTACTAACATATAGTAACAACTCCATCTTTAAAAATCCTTCCCTTTGTCCCACATTACTCTTTAGATCCCATACTATTTTTCTGCTTCCTTTTAGAGCAAAATCCTCTAGTCATTCGGACTCAGTGCATTCTCTCTTGAACCTATTCCAGTGAGGACATGTCTCCACCACTCAACTGAAACAGCTCATCACAGTCTCCCAAGACTACCGTTCTCCATCCTCAAATTTCTTGACCCATCAGCGACATTTACTTTGTTACTCCCTCCTCCTGGAAACAGGTTTTTCACCTGGCATCTAAGTGCCTTTTCTCTTTATTCTTTGCTGATTCTTCATCTTCACTATAGAAAAACATGGCAATGCCCCAACACTCAGCCTCAGGCATGCCAAGCACTCTCTCACCTTGCTCCCCCTATTTGTTGTCCTTCTGCTGGTAAGGCTTTCCCTCTGCTCACCTCCCCTGCCAAACCCCTCCGTGCTTCCTTCAGGTCTTTATTCAAATATTACCATCTCACTTTTCTTCTTAAGCACTCTATAAAAAAGCACCTCTCCCATTAATATCTTTCTCCCTTACCTTGCTTTATTTTTCCCCCACAGCACTTAGCACCAGCTGGTGTATTACTATATTTTCACTGTAATGCTAGTTTCCTGAGGGCAGGAACTCTGTCTGCTTGGTCCTTGCTGTATGCTCACTGCCTACCCCAGAGCCTGACACACAGTAGATTCTTAATAGATAATTGTTGAATGGATGAGCTCCTAGACACAACATCCTGAGTGGTAGGGATCCAACTTCTGATGAGTGAGATGCCACAGTCTTGCTCTTTCTTGCAATTACAGCTCTGATTCCTATCTAAATTCAGGAAAGAAAGGAAAAGGTAGACTGGTCATCACTCTTTTAGCCTCTATCTTTTGCCAAGGGAAGATTTATTTTCTTCAGCCTGGAGATAATCAAATTAAAAATTCTAGACTCTTGAGGTAGCTAACTTTGTTTACAAAAACATTTGCTGTTGGTGGGCATAGGAGCTTCTGATCTCTAAACCACATGAGCTATTTTAGAACCATGAAACAAGGTCCCCTTAATCTGTAATATGTGAGTTAATACTACAGATATGGAGACATACAGGAACTTGGAAACAGAAGAATGTTATCACATAAATGGTAACAGAGGAAACAGGTGGCCAGTATGGTACTAGATCAAGCCCATAAGGAAACTGATCAAACTTTTAGAGTGTATGAGAGTTTGGTAACAAAAATCTGTAAGGTGGCTTGCCTAAAATCTCAGGAGGAGAAGACTGAAGGCAGAGAAGTTCTATATGACCACAAACCACACTGCAAGAAGCAGAAATTAGGTTAAAATGTTTATCATATAATAATGGATCACAACTCATTACATGAGTTAAACAAAAGAATCAATGACTCCATCTGAATATAAACAAGAAAATGAGGGAAAAGGGGACTCTTCCTTAGAGTAGCATGCAACTAACAAATATGGAAGGAGAATGATGGAGTTAGAAAATCATAAACGGATACTAAAACTAGGCGGTAACCATTTGATGAAAAATAAGATATTTAAATAGTCTCAAAGTGTCACAGCACAGATTACAATTACAAGAGAAAAATAACACTTCAGGAGAAACCTGGTAAACATCATCAAAACCAACTGGTCAAATCTATCAGCACAATATGGAGATAAACCAACATCATGTGCCTCCTGATACAATATGGAAAGGGATATATCACTTCAGTGGTATTCATGTCAAAAATTCATAATCTCAGTGTAGTGAGGAAATAGACAAATTAAAATCGGGGGCCACTTTACAAAATAACTGATGCATACTCTTCCAAAATCTAAAGGTCAAGAACTGCTTTAACTTTGCCAAATTAAAGGTGACTAAAGAGATTTGACAACTAAATACAATGTGTGATCCTGGGTTAGATGTGGACCCAGGAGGAAAGGTAGTTATATAGGACATTACTTGGGCAATAGATAAAAATCTGAATATGGACAGTCATAGTCAGACTTATGTTAAATTTCCTGATTTTGATTTTGGTTATAGAAAAAAAAAGATTCTTAGGAAATACCATACACTAAAGTATTTGGGTATCAAGGGACACAATGACTTCAATTCATTCTTAAATGTTTCAGAACAAAAATTATATGTATATAGAGATATAAATAGGTTGACTCAAACGGGCAACATGTGAAGAACAGGTACATCTGAGTAAAGCGTATATACTATTCTTGCAATTTTTTTTAAGTTTGAAATTATATCTAACTAACAAGTTACCCTAAAAATCCCTACATAGCAAAGTTACTTTGACCAAGGCAACAGCAAAAGGTTAACCCAGGAAAATGATTCTTCCATTACATTTTCTGTTAATCTGTATTTCCTCCTTAAAGTGTACAGACATATCAATTGCTTTGCTAATTATTTTCACCTCTTCCTTCCCAACATTTACATTTCTTATTTCACTGTCCTGTCTAATTGCTTTGATCACGCTTCCAGAATACTATTCACTAATAATGGTGATACCTGATGTAAAGGAAAAAGCTCTGTGTCTCCTCTATTCTCAATAGCCTACTACAACACTACTTCACTTCTGACACAAGACGTGTGGGTTTTCCACGCACCAAGCAATTCCATGACACCAGCTGGGTGTCCTACAGTCTAACTCAATTCTGACACTGTCTACCGGAGACAGCGGCAGCTCCCACAGGTTCAAGGCCCAGTCTCAAAGACTGCCCCGACCCTTCAGAGGCCAAGTGCAAGTCCAGGCTGTCACTGTGCTTCCCAAGTGCCTATAAATTGGAGGTCCCCGTGACCCCTCCTCCCTGGGTTTGATTAATTTGCAAGAGTGGCTCACAGATCTCAGGAAAACATTTTACTTACTAGATTTATCATTTTATTACAAAAGAGTACAACTCAGAAACAACCGGACACCTAAGAGCAAGGTACCTGGGAAGGGGCATGAAGACTCCACACCCTCTCTGGGTGGGTGCACCACTCTTCCAGCACCTCCACGTGTTCCTCAACCTGGAAGATCTCCAAGCCTGTCCTGGTTTTGCATGGAAGCTTCACTACACAGGCATGACTGATTAAATCATGGCCATTAGTGACTGAGCTCAATCTCCAGTTGCTCTAGCTTCCCCAGAGGTCTTGGAGGTGGTTTAAACTTCAACCCTCTCTCAAGTGGTTGGTTCCCCTGGCAACCAGTCCCTATCCTTAGAGGGCTTTCCAAAAATCACCTCATTAACATCAATCAGGTGTGGTTAGCAATGAATGTCTTGGAACCCAACACTATTTCAAGAATGGAGTGGTTGACTGTGTTGAATGCTGCTTGGAGGTTGCACAAGATAAGGACAGAAAAGTATCCACTGGATTTGGCAGAAAGAAAGCTGTTGGTGGCCTTGGAAAAATCAACTTAGGGTAAAATCCAAATGATACTGTGTTGAAGAGTAAATGGGAGATGACAAATTGGAAACAGTGTACAGACAATCCTTTCAAGAACTGTGGCTTTGAAATGAGTGGAGAAATGGGTCAGAGCAGTATTTTGTCTTGAAGATGGGACACTAGAATATGTTTGTAAGGTAATGATTTGTATAGTAAGGAATGATTGTAAGGTAAGGAGAAAGGATAACATTCAGAGGCTACAGATAGACTCCAAAGTATAGGTGCCAGGACTGAGTTTCTAAGATTTTTTGGGTTTTTTTGTTTCTATTTTTAGTTTTTAGTGGGTTTGGGGAGGAAAGGGAGTTGGAAGTAATTAGATTTATTTATTTTTAAAACAGTGGCACTGGGGGATTGAACCCAGGGCCTTGTGATGT